TAGATGAATGATAGATGATAGATAGATGATAGATGATAGATGATGATAGATAGATGATAGATAGATGATTGATAGATGATAGATGATAAATGATGATAGATAGATGACAGATGATGATAAGTGATGATGATAGATAGATGACGGATAGCTGATTGATAGATGATAGATGATAGATGATTGATAGATGATAGATAGATGATAGATAGATGATACATAGATGATAGGTGATAGATAGGTGACAGCTAGGTGACAGTAGGTATAATTGTATATAATGACAATGCATGAAGTCATGATGACAAATGTGATGAAGTAATGAGAAGCCCGTGAATTTTAAGAATAAAAGTGCCTGTGATGGGCGGGAGGAGAAGATTGCCGCACTAACTGTTGATTTGCTTTCCATCTCTCTACAGGGAGATGTGGGACCTGCAGGGCCTCCTGGTGTGCCGGGCTCTGTGGTAAGTCACTGATGGTGGGACACACGTACTCAGATGCTCATGGACTTGAGTCACTCGAAGAATCCTGACCTCTTAGCATAAAGTGGAACTTCTGATGACAGGTTGGATGAGGGTCTATAGGCAGTGATTATTGGGAGGTGAGACATTCCTCCAGTGGTGTGGCCTTACCCATGCTCCTGTAAGCAATGCTAATTAGACTCATTGGATCATTACGAAAAAAGGTATGAAAGACAACTGAGAAGAGGCAGGAAGCCAGCGGGGGCCAGAGGGGGAAGAGAGGAGGAATGGAGGTGAATGCCATCCAAAGCATTATATACATGTGTGAAATGCCATAATGGAACCCATTGCATAATTAATAATACTATTAAAAACCATTAACAAAATCCAAACAAAGCAAAACAGGACTCACCACCAAACATTGAATCAAATCACAGCAGAGTCAGAAGCTGCATCCGGGACTGATTAGTGCAGAGAAAACCACACCTTTACTAACTTCTGCTTGTCTCTCAGGTGCAGAGAGAGGGCCTGAAGGGGGAGCAGGTAAGGGAGTGTGGGTCCCCCTGGTGCCTGTATTTAAGCTGTAGTAGAGGAGATGTCACAGCCATGGGGAGTTGGGCTCAGGTAAATTGAGACATGAAAGCATCCACTTGCTTCCTGCGAGAATCAAATGCCTGTGTCCATGCCTTTGCTGGAAACTTGGGAAGTAGATTCTAGTCAGTAAAGGGCCATGGGTGGTGGTGGCCTGCTCATGTGGCGAGGAGAGTGGTGGCTAATGTGCATTTGTCTTGTGTTTCCAGGGAGCTCCAGGACCAAGAGGCCACCAGGGCCTACCTGGGCCCCCAGGAGCTCCAGTAAGTCATTCGCCCCCAGCACACGGTGCACTCTGAACTCTTACTGGTGAGGGCATATTCTCAGAAGCCCTGATATTACTCAGGGTAGGTGCTGTGGGTAGCACCATCTTCCCCAGGACAATGAACCCATGGAATTACTGCATTCGGATAAAGTATGGGTGGCCCGCAGCCTGCTTTCAGAGTCCCTAGTCCCATGCAGGCCGGGATCAGGGTCTCTTGTCTTGTCAGCTTCTTTGAGATTGGCTAGCAAATGCTAGCTGGATCGCTTCATGCACATTTACTTCCCCACCTTTCTGAGCAGGGCCTCAGAGCCTGCAGCCTTTGATTTCTGCCCCTATTAAGAACTTAATGGTGTGTAAATAACCATTTGGGAAAAGGATATTGAAAGGTTCCTGTGATCATTTATGACAAAAGTTCAGATACTAGGGATGATTAATAAGGATGTAGTGAGGTCCATGGGGTCATTTTAAAGTTGCATTTCCAGGCCACACATTGCAGATTTTTCCACCTCACTGCATTTTATTGCGGGAAATGAAGTGGCTCTATTTATAAATGTCCGTAAGTGTGATTCATGGTGAACTTTGGAGGCCTTTTTGTCATTAGGATACTGGGACATGTTTGGCTGGGGTAAAGATAAAAGAGACCTAGATGATGTTTAATTGCAGTGTAATTAGGACAATTTTATACAAAAACTTTTTAGCCAATAAAGCTACATTTTTTTCTACCTCTTCTAGGCTGATTCCCAATAGCTGTACACCATCACTATAATTTTTGAGAGATTTAAGCGACATGTGAAGTATTCTTTCGATATTTTAGCTCTGTGAAGAATATAAATATATTTTTCTATATTTGGATATATTGGATTTCTATACAATAGTATATGTTTACATACAAATATATCCCTATGATGTCTGCAGGGGTGGAAATCCTCTTGTTCATCTTCACCAGTGACAAACTTAGTGTGGAAACCGTTGAGTGGATTACAGTAAGCCAGTCAGCTATTAAGACGCAAAACACAACTTTGAACCAGGTCTGTCTGACTTCCTAGCCTAAATACTTTCAACACTGTACGATGATCCATTAAATAGGACACAGAGAAGGTCTTGAACCTCTTCCTAAATCTGTCCGTCAGAACAGCTGAAATGCATTGACTGAGATAGCTGTCCATGGTTCTGAGGATGACCTCCACATTGTGTATTCTGGAATTATAGAACAGGACTTATACAATACCATGCGCTGATACTGAAATTCCATTGGATGGATTTCAGGAAGAAAGCACCTATCTAAAGTCTCTGTTTAAAAGAAGCAGTAAGCTGGGCGTAGTGGCACACACATTTAATCCCAGCACTTGGGAGGCAGAGGCAGGTGGATCTCTGTGAGATTGAGGCCAGCTTAGCCTGGTCTACATAGCAAGCTGCAGGCCAGCTGGTGCTGCAGGGAGACCCTGTCTCAAAACAAAACAAACAAAACAAAACCCAAAACAAAACAGTGGAACAGTAATGAGAGGTCTAAGACTAAAATTCTTAAGTCCAGGACCAGTATTTCATTTCTAAATCCCCGAGGTTTATTACCTGGTGGAAACTTAATGCATACTTGTGGGGAGATGCCCCTGCCAGTAAACATTAGGAGGACATGACAGTGGGATATGGCCACAGTGTGGCTATGGAAGGCATCCACAGTTAGGAGTCAAAGTCCTTACCTCACATCACTGTTGTTTTTTTTCCTTCCACAGTGTAGATTTGGGTCTTTGGTAACAGTACCTAATGACTGTAATGATCAGTTGGTTCATCTATAACCCTCCTCCTCCTCCTCATCATCATCATCATCATCACCATCATGATCATTATCTCCTCTTACACAAACATGCTATGGGGTTAAATAGACTAATGTTCAATGCAGTGCTCTGTGAGGATTTCCTAAGCTCAGTATAGATATTAGCCTTCATCTCTACCTTCTTTTGACTCCCCAGAGGCATCTGTCTCAGGGCCATCAACAGAGTAATTGCACCCTAAATATTCATTGGATTGACTCAAACTGAGAAGCTTGACTTCAGTGCCTTCTGTGGAGAATGAAAGTTTTTGAGTTTGTGTTCAGCAACCTCAGAGAGGAAAATATATCCCATTCTCTAAATGGAAATGCCATATAATGCTATGCATGTAATGCTGGCACTGTGCTTCCATTCCCTGGGATGAAGCAGGGTCTGGTCATCTTACCAATGTCTCTCTGAGCCACTAAAGGGCCTGCGAGCAGATCAACAGCAGGTGTTTTCTAATGCTTACAGCAGAATAGCTCTTGTAGGGGTCTCCTCCTCTAGTGAGCCCTGAGATCGGCAGGGGTCCCCCCCTTTAGTGAGCCCTGAGCTAGGCATGTTTTCCTTGTGAGTAAAGGGATTTACTCCTGTAATTCTTGTCATGTGTGCATTCATGCAGACAGCGATATAGGAGGACAGGACCATGGCTCTACATGTAGCTTGGTCACCGTACAGTTACGTAACACTTGGCATCAGGGACCACGTGGGTGATGCTGTTTGTTTAAGATGAGGAAAACGTAGTGAGTGAGAAGACATTTCTGGCCACAATTTACCAGACCTGGCAATGGAGCCTGAGCTTGAGCTGAGGGTTTACGCTGTCCACCCGGTTTCCCTGCTTGTTCTACATGATCTTGCCTGGGTCTATGTGTGGTGTGTCTGGCCTGAGGGTCCACTCTTCATGTGATCTCAGCTGCTCAGTAAATGGCTGCACTGTCTTCACTTTAGAGGAGACATGGTGGGGATTCAGTGATGTCTGGTGACACTCCGAGGTCACACCCTGCACAAACATCAAAGTTTATTGTCTAATTGACATGTACCATTCCCAGGCAACATTATGTTTCCCAGCTGTTGTACTCTGCTTATCATTGTTGCCTGAGGGTCAGAAAACCCCGGCTAGTGTCTTCTGAGATGGCAAGTTAAAGGGAAACAGCACTGGATTTAGAGTTAAACTTGGGTTCCTGATTATTCCTCTGTATGTTTTATGCAAACCCTGAAGTAGTCACGTCATGCTCGCGGCGCCCTCCTGCAGAACACACATGGCATTGTCTCTTTCGTTCTTGTTACACTGAAGTGTGTATTGGTTACTTTTCTGTTCTGTGATAAAACACCATGACCAAGGCAACTTATAGAAGGAAGAGTTTACTCTGGCTTACGGTCCCATCATGGTGGGGAGGCCTGGCAGGAAGCAGCTGGAGCAGAAAGCTGTGTGCTCACATCTTCAAGCTGTGCAGGACGCAGAGAGGAAGCTGGAAGTGAGGCGAGGCTAGCAACTCTTAGAGCCCACTCCCAGGGATGTGCCTCCTCCAGCTAGGCCACGCCACCTTAAGTCTCCACGACCTTCCCCAAGCAGCATCACCAACTGGGGACCATATGCTAAGTGTTCACGTACTCGAGCCTATGGGGATATTTCTCATTCAGACCACCACACGTCTGGATGTTTTATAATAGGTTTCAGAGCACGGATTGCTGTTTCCCTTCTGACTTCATGGTTCCCCATGAAGCTGCAGTGACACTTCCGTGTCGTAAGAGGGCAGAGCAGGCCATGCTGTGGAACCCCACACTTACCATTTCTCTCTTTTTTTTCATCTCCTAAAGGGTTTAACGGGTCCAGAAGGCAGAGAAGGACTTCCTGGGTCTCAAGGTCTCCGAGTAAGTAAACTGTCTTCCCCTTCTGACACTCATCTGCACTGGCCTCCATTTCATAATGTCCAACAGAGGACAAGAGTCCAGCCCTTGCACGTGAACAATGGAAGCAGAAAGATTGGGCTCAGTTCATTAATCTGGTTGGGAACACACCATGTGCTCTCCTTTTAGATGGGCCTTGGGTTTCTAGAGAGGAGTCTATGATCGTCTGTGAGTCTGGTATGTAGGACACGTATCCCTGGGTAGTCAGAACTCCTCATAGAAACAGGCCCAGTGGGGTGGCGGTGGGGGTAGGCTCAGAGATAGGCAACTGGCCCAGACCGGCAGTGGCCAAGGCTTCTTACAGGAGATGATGTTAGAAACAATTTTGCAAAATGCCTAAGAGACCAAAGGGGTAAAATGTAGTGATTTGCCAAATGGTTACAATTTCTTGGATACAAATATGCATGTTATTACTGAATATTTTATCTCATGGTATTCTATTTGATTTAATCAAGTTTAATTTAATTTAGCATTTGTCTTATGTAAATTTTGCACCTCTGACAGGCTTAAGTAGGAGGGCTACCGACGCATACAAATACCACATACACTGCTGGTTGCCCTACAGCAAACTGAACAGGAACCCAGACTTAGCTCTTTCTCCCCAGTTCCCAACAGTGTGAGTGGCACAGAGTGGGGCACACACACTGCAGCCTAACTCTGAAGCTTGTGCCCTCATCCCGGCTTCCCAAAGGGAGCTCTCCATCAGTGCCGCATCCAGCGGTGAGTCCGGTGGCCCCAGATACAGTCAGCTTCATGCCTCTAGAGTTTTTCATTCAGAGGCCATGGCGCCACTAGCCTGTGGGTGGGTGGAGGTCCTGGGGGCTTGCTGAGGCAGCCACTTTCCCCTTATGACCCTTTTAGACTGAAGGTTCAGTGTCTCAGTTGAGGAATGATTTTGCTTACTTGGAGTGGATTGACTGAGGGAGTTGGGCCTGCAACACTCCACATCTTCATTCTAAAACCAGGTGACCACTTGTTACTCAACAGGATTCAACTTGGTTTTGCCCACTGGTGAACTCCCAAATAATTTTGCTTCTCCTAGACACCTTGAATTTACAAGCTTCTAGGAGAAGCTTATTGTGAAGGCCATGAGAGATTCGGAAAGATGCCTCCAAGGCTCCATGGGTGGGAGACGAGAGAGTCACTTTCCTAAGCAGAACTTGGCCATAGCCAGTATGTTGCCAGTATGTTGCTTTCTCCTTTGTGTAGAGGAAGATTCCTTGACTTTGAAATGAGGTGCATCTGAGCTTGATCCTTCAAGGCTGTGTGACCCTTGAATGTCACCTGGTCTCTGAAAGCTTGTTGCCTCATTGTTACAGTGGTGAAGCCTTGTGGTGTCTAAGTTGCTATGACTGAGGCTGTTCAGGATGGCCCAGCTGTCATGGTACTTTTTCTCTGAACATGTTCACACATAGCCGTATAGAAAACAGTACCCTTCCATGTTATATAATTTGTGTTTATGAGCACCTTTCTTTGCTTGCATTGAACTTGTGTGAGCACTACTTTTCCTAATATAGTATTATTTGGTGGGAAGAGCTGTTATATAAAGATGACTGAACAGTCTTCATTTACATCTTTATCTAATTAACTAACGTGGGGGAAGGAGGTCTTGTAGAAGCTGGTCAGGCCCACGCTTTCTTGGATTTGATTGTCTGGGACCTACTTGGTGTGCTTCCAGAATTGTCTGTCATCATCCCAAGAAGCCCTTTTACTTGTATGAGCCACATCAACTGCAAATGGTGTGGAGCTGGCTTGGTCCATACTTAGCACAGCTCAGTGGACCTGAGAATTAGGTGACTGGACCAGTTTTTGAGATTTGATGAATAGAACAGAGACCCAGGGAAGCAGATAAATAGGTGGAAACAGTGAGATGGAGAAGTGGCTGGACTAGGTGTCGGCCTCCCCTCATGATAGTGTCTGTGAACCAAGGCCAGACCCACGTAGCGCACAGCTGCTAGGTGACCCCTCATGTATTCCCACATAGGCCTGCACATCCTTCTTTCCACATCACATGTCAGCAGAGTTGTGCTGAGCTCTTGTTCTGCACAGACATTTTACTAACTACTTTGGGATTTACTGAAAAGATTTAGGGCTCTCCTACCAGGAGCTCACAGTCAGCTAAGAAACTTGATGCCTACCTGAAGCTAACTCTCATCAGGCCTCAAGAAAATTGATAGACAATGAGGTCTTCACAAGGACCTCGGGGAGCTCAGCTTAGGGAAGGCTGCTGAGCCCTCCAGCAGGTGATGCGGGAGCAGGTGCTGTCTCAGGCAGCCTTGTGGTTAAATGGTCATGCAGATGGAGAAAGCGTGCTTTAGAGAGACCACACTGCTTCCTTGAAACCAGAACTACCACTGCCCTTGGTCTTCAGTTTGGGAGTGCATTGGTTGTGATGCCTAAGTGCCGTGGATATGACTTCTTGTCCCAGCTCTGCCAGCACTGGACTGGAGACGCCCACCCAGGACCCTCTTTCCTTCCCCACGTCTTCTCCTTTCTCCTTCCTGTTTCTCTTCTTCCCCCTTTCCTATCCCATGACTTTCCCTTTCTTCTACAATTTTATCCTTTCAACAAACATTTATCATTGAGTGTGCACCAGGTACTGCGCTGGCCAAGATGCTGGTTCACCAAGGGTAGCCCTTCCCTGATGCTGTTGATACCCTGGCAGGCAGAGGAAAGGAGACACAGCAGTTATCATTCAAGCAGATGATTCAGAAATGCTCCAGTGGGAACAGTGTGTTTGAACAGACTTTCTGGAGGTGAGGTGGTGGGCCGGGTTGCCAGCCGTGGGAAGGTCCCACCAGACAGAGGATGAGCAGCTCGAGCCAAGGCAGGGGCTGCTTGGTGTGTCTGAGCAGGGATCCATGTGGCTGGTGTTAGCAAGTTCTAGGAGGGGAGATGAAATAAGAGCAACCAGAATCCATTAGTGTCAGGTCCTGGGCACCAGTGACAGGACTGTGGCTTTCAGCATGCAGGAAGTATGGGACATGTGCCCTGATTTCACCATGCTCCATTATGGGAAAAAGTCAGTACTCCAGTCTCTATTTCAACACTCATCGAGTCATGGAAAAGTCTGTTTTATTTATACTCATGATCACCACTAGGTGAGCTGGAAGAACTTAGTCCCATCACATAGATATGAATATTTTAGCACAGCGTCTCCAAATCCAAACCATAATAGCATTATCACACCCAAATCTGTGAAAACCACAGCTTGAAATTTCATCAAATATTTACCCAAGTGCTCAGCACGATCTGCCTCCTCTGCGCCCGGCTGCACTTGCTCACTGCAGTGTTGGGCACCACAGTGTTGATTCCGAGCACATCCATTTGGCTGCCAGGTTGAGAATCAATTATGAGGTGGGGAGACCATTCAGGAGCTGATGATAATCAAGTGATGAAGGCGGGCTGCTCAGGCCAGGCTGGGGACAGGGACGCACAGAGGCTGCTGACCTTCCAGCCTGGCCCACTTCACAGGCTAGGTAGTAAGGACACAAAAAAAGGCAGAAGTTGGGTCCTGAAGGACCATTGTGTAACACAGGGAAGCAGGGAGCAGAATGTGGCTGCAGGAGGAGAGGGTGGTCTCTCTATTCCCACTGCCTCTGGTGAGTTACACATGGTGATCGAGGGTATTCAGGGGCCCCATGACCCTCTGATAGTCTGGGCCTGCTCACTAATTTAGGCTGTGTTCTAGCCTGTGGACATTTAGCTTAGCGCCTGCAGCCATGGGGGAAAGAATGGAGGCTAATTGAGATGCTGAGGGCTAGGAAGAAGGTTCCTGGGCCTTTATCCCCTTCGGAGTCAGGAAAACCCGAGACAGGATGGCTTATTCAAAAATTACATCTCTGCTTTCTTGCTGTGACCTGTCATTTCCTCCTCATCAATTTCAATTGAAACATCACTGGGAAGCACTCTCCAGTATCAATGCACACTTAGGCTGTTTAAAGGAAGAGAGCAGACGAAGACCAAGCACAGAAACTTGTGAATGGTGAAGCAGACTAAAACGTGAGGTAGGGGAAGGATTCCAGGCCCATTGCTTTAGAGATCAGCCACAGGCAGACAGTATAATCCCTGGCAAGGTAAATGCATTAATTTCAGACAATGCTGGTGTTCCCAATTACATGGTGAAAACAGAATTGGAAGCTAAACATAGCCTAGTCTACACCATCCCACAGACCTGAAGAGAGGCCACACCCCTGCCATATGATAGTACACAAGGAGCTCATGCCCTACGAGGAGGCAGAGACGGTATCCTCTGACCCAGCTTCCTTCTACCTGTCTATACTCGAAGATAAGCAAACAGCGACCATTCAATTAGCTGACATGGGGCATGAGCAGTTTTATGTGAATCTGGAATGTTCTATCAGAACAGCCAGCCTAAGCTCATTCCTGCACACTCTAGGCTCCCTGGTGACGTCACCATTCACCCTGAAACACCTACCCTACCACTCATGTCAGTCCTCCAGGGATCCAGGACTGGTATCGCCACCTGTGTAACTCACCTTGGACAGGCATGTTCAGGTTCAGTGAAGAGAACGAGGCTAGATGTTTTTGTTTCTCTTGTCTTGACAAGACAAAAAAATCAAGAATTTAAACTGGGAGCTTGAGAGATGGCCTCGTGGTTAAGAACACTGGCTGGTCTTGCAGAGGACCTGGGTGCAGTTCCCCACACCCACATGACAGCTAACAACTGTCTGCAACCCCAGTTATATGGGATCCAACACCCTCTTCTGGCCTCCACAAGCATTGCATGCATGGGTGCACTTACATATATGCAGAGAAAACGCTCGTGTACATAAAATAAAAAATAAATTTTTAAAAGAATTTAAATGCAAAATTTGGAACGCCTCAGCTATATAATTGTGGAGATGGTGTCTTTGAAACTCGCAGTAAACACCAGCACACTTCCCAAGCTCTCGGGTCTCTGCTCTTCCTGGCTGTTTAAATAAGCTCAGAGCAATCTGTGA